TTTGAAGAGTTGAGAAATAAATAAAAAGGTTATTTTGAGACATCTTAATTGTGTGTATGTGAATGCGTATTCATGTCAATGCAAGTGCAGTAGGAGTTGGAATAATAAGCAGTTCTGAACTGTTTGGTGTGGGGCTTAGAATCAAACTTGGGTCCTCTGTAAGAGCAGTAGCCACTCTTAACCACCAAGCCGTCTCTCTAGCCCTACATCATCGGTCTTTGTTCCTTTAAATGTCTTGTACAAGCTCCTCAGAAGCTGGGGAAATGTGAATCTCACACAGGAACTGAGACTCTGCCGAGTGTAGCTTTCATAAATGCCTACGACAGTTGATGGGATTTACCTCTCTTTTCATATTCTTCTGGTACATCACATCTCAAAGGAAGATCTTCCTTTATGTGGCAGCTTCCCTCTTTGGCTGAACTGCCATCATTTGGAAGATCCTTCTTTTTGAGGTTAGATCATTAACGCTGCCAATTGGAAACCTTCATTTCTCAATAACCATGTCTTTAATACAGAGCAGCTCACTAGCTGCCTGCACATCCATGATGCCTGCATGTTCTCTGAGGACCTCTTTACTCAGTCATATGTATTCATTATAATATATATATTCATTCATATATAAATAATTTTAAGTTACTTCCTTTCAACTCGGCACATGGCCGTATATAACTCTGGAACACATGCCAAAGATGCAGTTTAGGCTCATTGGACACATCCTTGTGAGCTATAAAATTATGTCTGAGTGAAGTAAAAATGATACCAATGTTCTCTAAGAAGAAATGAGTTTGTACTTCATGGAATGTGTAAGCCTTTCACTTGTATCAAAAATAAAAACAATCCTCTTCATGAAGAAACAAAATGACAGCATTTGGAGCTTACAATTATAAGGAGCGGTAGGAAGACAAAAGCAAAATATGGCTGGAACTATTTTTGTATCAAAATATCATGTTCATCAAAAGCATAAAATCTTTTATTTTTGTTCCATGTTTTAATAGCTTAATTGCACGCACTCTTTCCTCCAAGTATAACAAAAGCAACACAAGATTATTGTAATATTTAGATATTTTTAAAAACATGTAAGATCAAATTGGTTCCAACTTTAACTTGATTGAGATCTGAAGTAGAATTGTTACTTTAAAACAAAATTATGGCTTTCTAGAAACAAAATCAATAGCCAAATTAACAAAAAAAGAGAAAACTATTTTATGCTTGAATGAATGACTATCTTTCAGAGCACTAATAGTCAATAGCATTGCTGGAGGTTTTAAGCTTGATCTGGATTTTATTATACATATTTACACTTTAAAACAGCTCATGTAACCATTTTACCACAGTTAAGTTTTACCACAAGAGATTCTAAGAAATTAAAATATAGAGAATTCTTCTGTATTAAGATCATTATTATCTAAGGGATGCCTTGAACAGATTTTGAAAAACAAAACAAAACAGCAAAACACTTTGCTTTTGTTTTTTGCAGAGAGCACAGTCAGATGAACTGGAAAAAATTGAAAAGCACAGTCGATCCTCCAAAGACAAGGAAAATGCCAAATCTCTTGACAAACCTGAACAGTAAGTGGGTCAAGAGAACTTGAGGATGGTTAAGGCTATGGGTGGGCACCTCCTCATGGGAAGCGACAGGCCCTGAGGGCATGTTTGTAACAAAGGAGACACCTCAGTTAGGGTGGCTTATACTTTTCCTCCATCCTTGCCCTTGTCTTCCTAGGTTCCTGTATGAGCTGTCACTAATCCCCAACTTCTCAGAGCGAGTCTTCTGCATCCTGTTTCAGTCAACGTTTTCAGAGAGCATTTGCTCAATCCGGCGCAAACTGGAATTGCTACAGAAATTGTGTGAGGTGGGTTCCAGACCAGAGAACTGAATGTGAATTATGATATTTAATTGTATTCAGTCATGTAATTATTTGTTAATTTTTGTTTACTTTTAGTACTTGTACATTCAATGGATAGCAATCCCATATGAGGGAATGTTTTGGGACTAGGTTTCAGGAATAAAGTATGTGTTTGGATATAATCACAGGGCAGTGTGACTACATTGAGAGCCTGGCCAGTTTGTATTAGTCTCTTGGGATCTCAGCTTCTAATGCTTAACCAACATTCTCTCAGATATCAGACTTCCAAATGGATGTGATCTGAAAGAATGCCATTTATTTCCTCTTGGGTTTATTTGAAATGGCCCCTCAGTAAAGTGTTAATATTTATTGCACACAAATGATTTTTGGAATAGTCATTTCACTCAGTAGAATATAAATACTCTTCAGAATGCAGCAAATAAATTTTGGCTGAAAGGACCAATATTAGTACTTCAAATAGTTTAGCAAAAATCCACATAAGCATTTGTTCTGATTGGGGTAAACCATCTTGCAGAATGGAAAGCTATTACAAGAAACACTTTCAGAGGAAGTGGCCCCCCAAAACCCTGAGGCTAGGCAGGGCTCTGGCATGGTGAGCATGAAGTTTAGAAAGCAAGCCTGACCCTGGAATTCAATCTGTCTTTAGGGATTCTACAGCTTATGCCAGAACTGTTCCTAACATAGAACCACTTAAAGATAATAGAGCTGATACTATTTTGTAGAAATTCTCATTGTATGTGGACCACAATGACACCTCTTGGCATCTACAAAAATAATGATGCCTGGTGGTGACATGCCATTGTAAAGCTAACTTTAAGACCCTGTTTTGAAAGTATAATAATAATGTGGAAGGTGAGAGTTAGGCTGTCACTCAAAACTATCAGTTTAACGTGATCAACTTGGTATCGATTTGGGTGATCCAAATAAAACAGTGCTTAAGAGGAAATTCTTTGTTATCCTGTCTTACAGACATTAAAAAATGGACCGGGGGTCATACAGGTCCTGGGTTTGGTTCTAGCCTTTGGTAACTACATGAATGCTGGAAACAAGACTAGAGGACAGGCAGATGGTTTTGGGCTCGACATTCTGCCCAAGCTGAAGGATGTCAAAAGCAGCGTAAGTATTTGGTTGTTAATGGTTGCACCAAATTGAGAATATCTTGTTTTTAAATAGGTTTGCCTTGTAACAAGGTATAATGATTATCCCTGTCTTTTCTGAGACCAAAAGTTTCACACGTGCACACACACACTCACACATACACACACACACACACACACACACACTCACACACACACACACACACACACACACACACACACACACACACACACACTCTTAGGTAACATTTGAAGAAGTGTCTTATACAGCCTGGAATAGCCTCAGACATGCTATCTGAGTGAGGAATTCTGGATCCTCCTGCCTGCTCTGCAAAGTTTTGGGACTAAAGCGTGAGCTGCCACTTCCAGCAAAAGTTTCTTTGTATTTTGAGCTTGGTCAAAGTGGACTGTCTGTGTATCTACATTTTAAGAGAGTAATAATTTCTCTAATGGAACTGTGAGTCCTATATGGAATGAGTATTTAGGTAATATAATGTTTTTTTAATAAATATTTCTTCCTGTATCAAGCCTGCTACAGGCTTGGGAGAAGGGGTGTGAAAGTGACTAACCACTTTCAGTGAATTAGAGGTTCTGCCTGTTCTCTTCTCTTCCCTAGGCAGTATAGAGTAGGAAAAAAAAGATAGAAAAACAGGAATGAAAGTAGCTCATAAATGAAATAGAAAGGACAATCCCACTTTCCTTCACACTGTTCTATTCTTCCTGTCAGCGTGAATGGAAGTGTCTAAGTCTGCTTGCAGATCTGGTTACTTTTAACGCTACCTCTTGGAGATGTTTGCTATTGTTTAGAACTAATACTGAGGGGATTGTTAGAGTGGCAGTAGAAAGGGAAGGTCAGGGGTGACAATCAGACTCACAGATGAAGGTCTGAGATGGTAACATTAAGGAAGTAAGAACCGTGGTTCCTTGTGAGAGAATTGCTGCACAGAAAGAACATCATAGTGAGAGAAAATATGAACATGCTTTTAGGTACCATGTCAGAATAAATGATTGTAAAAAGTGAAATCCTGAGAGAATTCATCCATCGTCCTCATGAGAGAGAGGCAGCATGCAGCCATCATCATCATGAGAGGCAGCATGCAGCCATCATCATCATGAGATGCAGCATGCAGCCATCAT